CAGGGCACCGGTGAGTCGCTGAGCCCCGCGCGGTGCCTCCCCCGAGCTCCCTCCGTCCTCTCCCCCCTAACCGCTGCCCCCGAGCACGGCCGGGAGTGCTTGTCCTCCAGGGCGAAGTTGCTCCTTCCCGGAGTTATTGCTGGCTTAGTTCCCTTCCTGGGAGCTTCTAGAAACCAAATTGCCGTTTTTATTTTCACCTTACCCAGTAAATCTCCAAAATGCTATGGGATATGATGTGGGGTAGGTTAACACTACATAGGCTGATTCATATCTCACTTGAGCTCGGGTGGTACTTTTCTCCTTTTCCCTTTTTTCCTGTTTTATTCAGTGGCACACAGGATTGTCCAGTTAGTGCCCCCAGCACTGTAGTGTCTTATCCAGGGCTGGATTCCTGTTAAACATCTTCTCTGCTCTACAGATCCCATCTCCAAGGACCTGCCAACCCAACGGAGCCAGTGAAGAAGCCCTGCAGTGTGAAATTGAAGAGCTGAGAAGGAAAGACCTTGCTCTAGACCGAGAAATTGCACAATTAGTGTCTGAGTATGTCCTTGGCAAGCTCAGTGTTCACTGTAATGCCTCAATTAGTTTTGTTTTCTAAACAGAATATGGTCCAGGAATTGCAGCTCAGAGGTGACCTGGTGTGATGCTGTTGTTGTCATGGTGCAGTGTTGGTGACAGTGTGTTTTGAGTGATGGAACCTTGTTAAAGATGAGGGAATTCTTTCTGGTTTGTTTGGTAAAGGAAAACAAGTTTTGCTAGGAGCTTGCATAAGAGGATTTTAGCTTTACCTCAGGTGCTGCTGAGGTGATTATGTGTTAAGTGGGGATGGATAATTTCAGCCTTCATGGTGCTACAGCATGTGATGCTCCCAGGAGTCCTTGTCCACATGGAGATCATGTGTGACCTAACAAATTTAGTCCCAGATGAAACTAATTCCTCTTTGTTCCATCTTAATCAAACATTCATTTGTTTTATATCTGATATGAGTGGGTTAAGCCTTTGTGCTCAAGAAGCAGAGGGATTTTCCAGGCAAGTGTCCTGTGGAATTCTTTGGCCTTGGCAGATGCCACATACAGGGCAGTGCAGCTGTGTTATTGTGGTTTCCCTATGACACACTGTGGCAGCTGCTTATTAGCAGCTGTTTTGACATTAGATTGCTGCTTGGTTTTTAAAGAGAAAATCTCTGGGTTATTTGTAGTGAAGGAGTATTTTCTCAGTGTAGTGCATGAGATGGAAATGGTAAAACAACAAAGGCTGTTCCAAGGCTTTCTAGTGAAGGGACCAGAGGGAATGGCCTCAAGCTGTGCCAGGGGAGGTTCAGGTTGGACATCAGGACGAATTTCTTCACTGAAAGAGCTGTCAGGCATTGGAATGTGCTGCCCAGGGAGGTGGTTCAAGGAAGAACTGGATGTGGCACTTAGTGCTCTGGTCTAGTTCATATGGTGGTGTTTGGTCGCAGGTTGGACTCAATGATCTTGCAGGTCTTTTTCACCCAAATGATTCTATGATTCTTAATTTTTTTCATATCTACAGATTAGTGATACATACAAATGGAATTCACCAGAGTCTTCTCCTGTTTCTGCCTGATTCTGAGAACTTGGCTGAATTAGCTTTTTGCTAAGTCTTAATGTGGCAAAAATAAACTCAAAATGAGCATCTGCTCATTTGGAGCTTTCATGTGTGTGGCTTATAGCAACTGTACTTGCTGCCTTCAGATTCTGCTTTTGAGGTGCCAGGCTTGGGTATCTCCCACATCCTCACTGTGCTGGGGCAGTGGCAGCAGCAGCCCCAACCTCTCTGTGCCATTTGTGACCTTTCTGGTGTTATTTTACAGAGGCTACAGCCTGGAGGAACTGGAGAAGCACATCTCTCTGCTCCATGAATACAATGAAATCAAAGATGCTGGGCAGATGCTTCTGGGCAAACTGGGTAAGGGGAAAGCTGTTGAAAAACTTCTTAGTGTTTTCATACAGACAGAGAGAAGCTGCTGCACCACAGAGGCAGAGCTGGTGTTACACATTTTTCACTTCTAGGCTTATATTGCTCAATCATTGTGCAAGCACAAATACTTCTGTCATCATTTTCTTGGGGTGTTTTTAGAACATGAGCAATTATTGTCATTTACCAGTATTTCAGTCAGTTATGGATTGCTAAAATTTGATGGGTATTAATTATTTTAGTCAGTTTTGTTGTCATATGCTTGAATAAAAGGTGTTGAGACAAGGAAGAGAGCACAGCTGCAAAACCTTGGGTTGGTTTCTTGGCTATAGGAGGTGCTATGGGATAGTTAAAGGAGGGAAACACAACCTTTCTGCCTCGTCTGACCTGTGTTTAATGAAAGCAATGGTATTTCTTGTTTTCCCAGCTGTTATCCGAGGGGTCACTACAAAACAGCTCTACCCTGAATACGACCTGGAGCTCAGTGACTAGTACTGAGCCTGGAGACTGCCACGTCCTGCAAAAGTGACTGTCACTGGGCCATTATGTTGGTGTTATCCTCGTTTAAAAGTGGCAGGAGGTGATCTCAGGAGTGTATATGTAGCATTGACATGGGGTGTGGGTGAACAGCTTTGTTTCTAACAGCTTTGGAACATGAAGCTTGTTGGATCTATCAACTGTTTCCTGCATTTGGGTTGTAGGACTTCAGGTGATTTCATTTACTATCTGATCAACAGGATTTTAGGGTGGTTTTTTTTCAAAGGCTGTAATTCGTGTTGATGTTGAGACTTTTCCCACGGAGCCTTTGCTTCTCTGCAGCATCCAGGGGCTGTTTGGTTACTGAACAGATAGAAGTGAGGGCACACAAATGTGCAATGTAATGGCTGCTTTGAAGGGAAAACCCTCAGAAGTAGGGAGGGAAGGCTGAAGTTGTGGTGTTTTGGGGGGTTTGTCCTGGTTTATGATCAAATCTGGAGAAGTCTGAGTGTCCTACATTTCTGTACTTACCTGCTCTGGTATCTGGAGTTTTGTATCATTTCTGTAGTAAATGGAAAAATGTGAAGTTGTGTTGAACTGTCCAGTCTGAATAAAGCACCTTCACGTTTCTCAGTAACTCACTCTAAGAGCCTCTAAAACATTGTATGAACCCAGGAACAAATTCTAAAACTATATTGAGACAACTGTAACATCTATTACTCAAATGTTTTCTCTGCATGGGGACAGTGTGGCAGCACTGCCAGGAAAGGACAGGTGCAGAATCACCTTTCTCTGCTCTGAGTGCAGAGTCACAGTGAGAGTGAGCACTGTTCTGAGCACAGGATGATGTTGGGTGTTTCAATGTCAGCATTAGGACTCAGGGTGATTACACAGACTAATTTTGGCTGCTTTAGGCAGTTCTATCTGATGAAGTGCTCTGCTGACTGCAGATCCATCGTCCCTTTTTCACTCAGGCTTGATGTCCTGCCCATTTCTACCTTCTTGTTTCCCCTCTGGTCTCCAGTCAGGCCCATGCTGCAGCCTGCTCATTATTGCCAAATTTGAAACAAATTAATCTGCCTTTGCTGTGTTTAGAAACCTGAAACCAGTCACAAGGCTGAGAGCAGATAATTGTTTTGTGCTCTTCACTCTGGACCTGACACAGAAACATCACTAATAAATGTCTTATTTTGCCTCAAAAGCTGTGGGGAGAGGTCTCATGCAAGGGGACAGGCAAAGCCTGTGTGTGCTGTGATTCATCCAGCAATCCCTGCTGATGTGCAGCTGTGCAGGGTATTCACTGTGGCCAGATCAGAAAGGACTCTCAGGGGAATGATTACAGGTATGTCCTACCCACCTTAAACCCCTCTCACCAAGTGTGGAAAACTCCTGTGCTTTGGAGTAGTTTTAAAGGGAGAAAAATGTCACAAGAAGGCAAAGAACTGGGAAATGCAAACTTTGCTACTAACATTGCTGCTTTGGCTGGTGGAAGAATTGGTTCAGCCTGGAGTGTTCCAACCAAATGTTCCTCTGGCAGTGGCACACACAGCTGGAAATTGGTTTTGCAATGGGAAGTATGTATGGAAACTCTTCAGTTTGTGCTAGGTGTGAGCTATGGGGATGAAGCATAGGCCAGCAGAAAGTTACTGAAGGTTATTGAGGGACTCAAGGCCATGTTTTCTTCCCCTCCATGGAGCACTGGGATTAAACCCTGCAGCTGTAGCTGTGCAAGTGTCCTGCCACTGCTGCAGAGATGGGTTTACACTCCAGTTAGCACCAGGCAGGTGTCCAGGGAAGGTGTCCTGATCCAGTCCCTTGTCCACGGAGGGTGAACAAGACCAACCATCTGAAGTAAGAGCAGGCCGCCCTTGGGGAGTCCCTGCAGCTGGCACAGTGGCTCTGCCACGCGGTGGCAGCTACGTTCCACTGCTGTGCTGGCTGCTCTGTGCAGCCCAGGGAAACCCAGAACTGAGAGATTCCAGGGAATGACTCCTGGGATGCATCAGGACACGACTGCACACTGCCACTGAGGTACTCCATCACAGCCCCTCTGACTGCCCCTCCTGGAGTTACTCTTGAACCTTACTGCTGTCATGTGGAGGATGAAATATGCTGTCCTGTGTCCAAATCCAGAAGAGGAATAGGACAAATCTGCTTTCTATAGATAAATCTCCAAACTTGCTAACTAAGTGTATAGCTGGAAAAACATTGAGGGCGATAATGGTAAGATTTTTAAGTTAAATTTAGAGTGTATTTCTGCTAAGTCAGACCCAGCTACAACAAGCTAACAGAGACCAAATGGTGTTACAGAGCTCACAGAGTTTCATCCGAGGGCAGTACATGCTCTCTGCACAGAGCTGCTGCAGAGCAGGATACCAGAGACCCCTGAACACTCTTGGCTCCTCAGGAAAACAAAAAAGGGTTAAAAAAGCACGTTGGGTTATTTTATGAGTCAGTGTGTTCATGGACAAGTAGTGAGCTGAGAACCAGTCTCTTCCCCTTTAGGTCCCTTCTCAGTTGTATTTCTTGTGTATCCTATGCATTAACCCCTATTAAAAACCACTTTTCATCACATGTGCCTACTCTGGATATAACCATCTCCTGGCATTCTTTGGTAAGCTGCTTTCTCCTACACATCCCTCTTAGCCCCATTTTGATCTCTCATGTGTCTGAAAGCAAGGCTAATGGAAAGAAAATACTCTAGGAGAACACAAAGAAAATAAAACCCATTGAGTAGATAAGTTATGCTGCCAGTTGCAAGGAACAAACAAATCTGTGCCTACTCTGGATATAACCATCTCCTGGCATTCTTTGGTAAGCTGCTTTCTCCTACACATCCCTCTTAGCCCCATTTTGATCTCTCATGTGTCTGAAAGCAAGGCTAATGGAAAGAAAATACTCTAGGAGAACACAAAGAAAATAAAACCCATTGAGTAGATAAGTTATGCTGCCAGTTGCAAGGAACAAACAAATCTGTGCAGTCAATACAGCTCTCTTTTCTTTCCTGCTGCTGAACAATTTGGGAATGGCTTTTTATATCCCTTAGCAACCTAATGTTCTCAAAGTCAACAGGAATTTTGGCACAGCTACCTCTGGTAATGAACTGCTTGTGATGCTTTAAAAAAATTATCCAGCCTGTCACTGCAAAGGGAAAAAAGCCTCTGACTAAAGTCATCTCAAGGAAAGGGTGGAAGTGAACTGCAATGAACCTCTTTCCTTCTGCTGTCCATCACACCGTGGGTGTGTTGCTGCAGTGCTGTGCTGCAGGATTGCTCGAGCGTGTTCCCTGCAGCACACTCAGCTGTCTGCAGCGTGGGCTGTCTCCTCATCCAGCTGATGAAGAGGACTGTTATCCTGATATCCCAGTGTTTTCTCTATCTCTGCTTTCACTTTCAGCTCACAGTTCTGGATTGCATTCCGTACACTCTGCAGGTCCCACTGTGTTCTGGGGAGAGCATCATCCAGGGTGAAAACGCCATCGCGGATTCTCCGCACTTGTGTGCACACAGCAGAGGATTTCAGCTCCAGGCCAATCTCGTGGACTATTTTCCGGAGGTACTGCTGAGTCTCGTGCAAGCAGTGGATTTCTAGGAGGACAGAGAGATTCCTTCAGGAGAAGCAAAGCTTTGACACAAGCTCAGAGTTTGTAAATCCAGACATCCCTCATAGTTAAGCTCTGGTTTGGCAGAAGAGATTAAAACACAGCATGGTTTGGTTTTCTGGAACACCTCAGGGTGTCCTCCCAGAGTGAGTACTTTAGCAAATAAACCCACAGATACAGGAGAGTAATGTAGAAATTTAGGTATTTCAAAGGGAATAAGAAAATGCACAGACAATTTGTGAGGAGGAGGAAACTGACTGCAGGAAAGCAAACCATACTTTAAAAAAACAACAACCCAGCACTGAAAGGCACTGAAACACTGGGATAAAGAGAATTTTGCCCCATAGGTAGTCATGATGCAAATTTTCTGGCCTCAGGTTTAGATCTGGAATGGGTAGAGAAGAACCTATGAGCTGAGTGCACTGGCTGGATTTACTAGAGCAGCTTTAGTACTGTGAGAGTTCCAGATCTTGCCCTACCAAAAAAATCTTTCAACCACACTAAAGAGTTCATTGTAATAGAAGTTGCTTTTGTGGCTTTGGAAGCTACAAATCATTACATTTTCTGCAGGGATTAACAGGTAGAAACTGATAAAAAATCCTCACCAACTCATTACGCATTAAATCACAAATAAGAAACTGAAGTTTACCAACATATTTTCCACAATTCATACTCAGAGTTCCCCAGTACATTCAGTGCCAGTCCTACCTAAGTGGAATTCTGGAGGTGCAAACCGGAGGCATCGGATTGCTGTGATTATTGGGGGGCTTTTCTCCATAGGGCGAATCAACCCTCTGACAGCCAGTTCATAGGCCTCTTGTGATTTCATATCAATGTTAGAATACCTGGAAAGAGAAAAAAGGGAACAGCACAGACACTTAGTGCTTCTCTCCAATGGGAGTTGAAATATCTCTACCCCCAATAAAGCATGGCTGCAATTTTTATTCTTATAACTGCCTCTCTGTTGGGTTTTTTGCATACATTTTAATGGTGTATGTACTGTCAGTAGTGTAGCACAGTTTGGGAGGGAAGTACTTGGTCATGTCTACAAGATGTTTTTGTCAGCCCTAATGCAGCAAATTGGTCCTAAAACAGAAGGAGATTTTGGAATACAAGAAGGACACTTAACTGCAACCTCTTACCAGAGTACAGAGCACTCAGAGTAACTCCCCTCTGTCCCTGGGTAGCACTCCAACCTTTAAAGACTTTGTTTATGGGAAACAAAATTCTCTAATTTGTTTTAAAGACCAGCAAATGGAATGGGATCAGGTCAGCTCATCTCCCCGTTGGATACTCACATCAGCAGGGCCTTGTGATTTGTCCCTTGAATGACAGCAAGAATCCGTTCCAGCTTCTCCCTTGTGATATGATCTGCAAAGATTAAGGTAGAAACAAAGTCTCCACTATCCATCCAGAAACGGGAAAGAGCAGCCTGGAATGTGCCACTGGGGTATTGCTGTCCCTTGGGCAGGCAGACACATCAAAAGGGGCTGATGAGAGCTAAGAAGCCACTTAGACTTCTTCAAGAGAGTCTCTTCCCCTGGCTGCACGTCGTGTGGCACAGAGCAGCACAGCACTCAAAGGGAAGACTTACTTTGTCTAATTCATTTCAAGGTGTTGATGCTTCAGTTTCTCTTATTGGGTGCTTGAAGAATTTCATTCCGAGTGCTCTCTCCAAGAGTGATTTACAGAGAGATCTGGTACAACCACCGTGTCCAGCACTCTCACTGGCTTTGCATATATTCTGGTTAGATTTAGAACTGGTGGACTGTGACACCAATAACAACCAGAAAGCATGTAAGGGCCAGTTTTGTCTTTGTGCAATTTCCTGGGTTAAATGCTTTGCAGTTAGCATGCTGTTTGGTTCAAAAAAAACACCTATCGATTCACTTCTTACCAAATGTGGTCTTCTCTATCAGCTTTCCTGTGTCTGAGAAGTCATCAGTGGCTTTACCAAACAGCCCAGCAACAGTGTACACCTGGAGGAAGGACCAAGAGTGCAATTGAGTAAAACACTCCCAGCAACTGAGTAGCAGTATGCTGCCAGGCAGCTGCTAGGAGTGCAGGCTGGGAGAGTGTGGCACAAAAAGGCAGCAGCATCCCAGGCTCAAAGGCCACGTGTGGATGCTCACATGAAGGATGAAATCCTGGACCCTGAAAAGCTCCTAAAAGCTTGGTGGGGTGAGACTCAAAAGCAGAATCACTGTCATAAGGTCGGTCCAGGGCACTGGGGCAGGATGAAGTGTGGGATCACACTCTGATGCTATGAGGTTGTTCAGAGCCAGCACCTACCTTGGTCAGGTGGCAGTTGTACAGGTCAGTGAGCAGCTTGTTCCCATGGCCAATGCCAAGCACTGAAACAGAGAAGATGGAGAACCTGTTATTCAGTCACCAATGTGCATTTACCCAGCTCTGCACACTCATGCTGTTCCTTCCACTTTGGACAGAGCTGATTGTCCTTAGGAGTCATGTCTGAGCAGTGCAAGTAGACCCTCAAATTACTGCCTGTCATGAAAGCTTTCAGGCTGTAACCAGAGCTCTTGGACTTCCCCAGAACTTCTCACCCAGGTACTCAGGGAAAATGGTCAGCAGCCATGGCCATGTCAAAGCCAATTCAGGTGGTGGAGCAGAACACCGACAGTGTCACCAGCAGGAGCTCAGGGTCCCACAGGGACCACTCCCATCTCCTGGCATTGCCAGTGCCTTTTTAGAACATTTCTTCAGTGTTTTGGCACTTAACACTCCCAGCTGGGCTGTGATACCTGGAGCCTGTTGGAGTGCAAGGGCTGAGCATCCCCCACTTCATCCCCCCATGGAAACCCATCACCTCGCAGCTGGTGGTGCTTCCAGACAAGACCCACCAAAGACTCCAGATGCCATCACGTCCAGCCGGTGACCTGCTCCCATCTTCAGGCGCCTGAACCGCGGGCCCCGGACTGCAAGGGAGACAGCGTTGGGGCCAGTCCAAAATGTTTGGTCCCACTG